TGATCTTTTCTCTTAACTCTTTCTCGATCTTTCTCGTAGAGTTTTCCCAATCCTTCCGTTGCACGTTTTAGCCACGAAATCAGTTTGCACGTTCACCTCCTTGGTGCAAGTAACGGATGGATCTCCCTACAAACAGGAATAGTGCAACTCACTTATTTTGCCCACCCACCTCCAACTCAAAAACCATCCCACTCACTCTGAATTTGTTCCTTCAACAGTTGCTCTCCCAGTGGTGTGAACATATCTACTAGAGTGGGTACTTTCCGGGTGATATGTACAGCACAGGACACGGCCTAGAAACAGAGGGTTCATAAAAAGGAATTATTATTATTATTATACAATTGTATCACAGCGGCCAGTTGTTTCGCTGGATTTGGCATTGGTTACTAGTCGGGCCTCACCCAGGGGCCTAGGACGTCGTAATGTATTTTCGTAATATGCGTTATTATTATTATTATTCCGATAACCTGGCATTGCCGGAGTATTTATTTATAGGGGGAAAATATCTGGACCAAATGTAATTTCTAATGTTGGATTTTCCCCCTTCCCAGAGGGAGCCCCCTTGTGGAGTACTATGAAGCCATTAACATGGCAACTCCACTGCGCTGTACAGTAGAAGCCATTTTAAGGCACAACAGGCTGTATCTTAACAGAACACACATCCCAAGGGGGTTTAGGGGTGTTACCACCACAGTATTTTTCTCCAGAGAGTAAGTCAAGTCTGTGTACCAAGTTTGATTGAAATTGCTCGAGGTGTTCCAGAGTTATGCTGAACACACACACACACACACACACACACACACACACACACACACTTTTGAGAAAAGGTCAGGGCCTCTGAACATGTGCAGAAAATTTGCCAGAGTGATGCCATCTGGTCTCCTACCCCTCTGAGTACATGGGAAGAGGTCCCAACTACAACTTGGAATAGCGAGGATGTTTGAGGGACTCACTTACCCACAAATTGGAGAATACAGATTGTCCTCGACTTATGACCAACATTGAGCCCAAAATTTCCACCGCTAAGCAAGACAATTGTTGTTTTACGACCATTCTTGCCACAGATGTTAAGTGAACCACTGCAGTTGTTAAGATAGTAACACGGTTGTTAAGTGAATCTGGCTTCCCCATGGACGTTGGTTATCAGAAGGTCGCAAAAGGGGATCACACGACCACGGGACACTGCAACCGTCATAAATATGAGTCAATTGCCAAGTGCCTGAATTGTGATCACGTGACCATGGGGAAGCTGCAACGGTCATTAAGTGTGAAAAACACTCATAAGTCACTTTTTTCACTGCCGTTGTAACTTCGATTTCTAAACAAAAAGGTCGTAAGCCAAGAACTCCCTATAAATATAGATTTTGGATAGCGGCTTGTAAAACAAAACGTGCTAAAACATGTTAAAATTGCCATTTTACAGCAGTACAGTAGAAGTCATTTTAAGGCACAACAAGCTGCATCTTAACAGAACACACACCCAGAGAAGCGTTAGGAGTATCTGACCCTCACAGTATTTTTTTTTAAAAAAATCAAGCTGTGGAAATCTTACGGTTGAACAATCGGATGAAACTGGAGCACCCAAACTGTTTTTAATTACAGGTAGTCCTCGAGTTACGACCAGAATGGTGCCCAAAATGTACGTTGCGAAGTGGAACAGTTGTTAAGTTTGTCCCGTTTTCTCACTTTTCTTGCCACTGTTGTTAAATGAATCACTGCCGTTGTTACATTAGCAACACGGCCGTGAAGCGAACTGAGAGTCCCCGTTGACTTTGCTTGCCAGAAAGTCACAAAAATAGGAAACCCGTGCCGAGCGTTAGATGCTGTAATGGCCGTTAAGTGTGAAAAACGGATCTTAGTCTTTTTTTTTTTTCATTTGGTGCCATCGTAACTTTGGGCGTTCACTAAATGAGCTGTTGAAACCCAGAAAGTACATCCGTGGTGTCTCACCTTCCTTCGCACGGTGTGCTGCCCGGTTTTTGCCAGCTGCTGCACTTCCTGAGCCAAATCCTGCAACATGGCCGCCGAGCCAAGCGAGCCCAGGGTGCTGAGTGCCAATCCTTGCACCCAGGGGTTGCTGTGTAGCAGGTCACTTGCAGATAAGGAGAGAAGGAGGGAAAAGAGGCATATTTAGAATAGAATAACTGAGTCGGAAGCAGGGGCAACATCCTGAAACTCAACCCAGCGATGGTCTACCAGATTATCCCCTTGTGCCCCAGCTGGACCTGCAGAATCGGAGTCCAACTCCGACCGAAACCGAGCAACTTTGTCCGCCAAGAACTGGACGTACTCTTCAGCCCTACCCTGCAAGGGTTCCCCCGTATCCCTCCTAAACAGGGCGGCTGGGCGCGACTCGGCGGAGGCAATCAAGGTGGCAATATAAGATCTTTTT